AAGTTATTTGATTGGCAAAGTTCAGTCGTTGGGTAAAATTTTTCCCGTCAAGAGAAAAACTTAGCGAGACATGAACCATCCAGGTTTCATTCCATCTCAGGGTAATGGGCATTGGATTTTTTGTGACATTTGCAGTTTATGTTAAGAGTGGGTCTCTTTGCCAGTTGTCGATCTTTATTGTCTATGTGCTTGTTTGATCGGTTCCTATCTTTAGGTTCGATTGAACCTTCTTTTCTTGCTTTGTCACTGAAGAATTCCTAACAGTGCCCTTGATCCAACATTTCTTTAACATGATCCCTCAACATTTGGTAACCCCTGGTGGCATGGCCAATGCTCTTGTGGAAAGAGCAATGCTCATTTGGGTTTTTCTTTGCCAGGTGCTATAGGAGCTTTGGGCATAAGAGGAATGGCTTGTCCTTTATGCTGTGGAGGATGTTGGTGTTTAGGGCGATATACTGCTTTGGTTTTGGAGGATTCTGCTTGTCTCGACGTCCTGCTTTAGCAGCTTGTCACGGAGAAGGAGGATGTGTGTGTCCCTGTCAGCCCTTATTCTGTCAAATTTTCTGGGGTAATCTAGCTCGGGTGTCATTCTTCTCGTCCTTTCATCCTAATCAGTTAGATCGTCTGCAGTATCAAAGCATTCGGCCAAAGTGGCGTAGTCATACTTTCTCTATACAAAGTTGAAGTGGTTTTCTAGATTCTTCATATGCTTCCAGATGTTTACAAAGTTTGAGTGGTTTTCTGCTCGAGTGGACATTTGGTTATTTTGCAGCTTCTTGACAAAGTTGTTGATCTTGATCAGGGTTTCCCAGATCTGGTCAATGGAGGGAAATGGCCTGTTAGCCAGTCCTTGTTGTCTCCGGGCATAGCCTCACTCCTTGCAGGCTGTTACTTGCCTTTAAGGTGGCAGTGACCTAAGGCAGTGGGTTGTCCGCCTTTGGCACAACATATGCATTAAAGGGTAAGTTACCCCTACTGATGAGGTTAACGCTAGCGTTAACCAAACTTTCTTCGGCAAATATGTCAGTTAGTTGAGTGGAAAATGTTTGTTCTCAATGAAAACACAAATTGTTGGAACCAAAGTTGCGCACCCCTGTGTGTGGAGGAAGTGCTTGAACTCAACTACCTGTAAAACAGTAAACAATTGTGAGCAAGCCTAGGACCGGGAGGGGAGGGGCTGTGCTAGCCAAAAGTTTAGGGTTTAGGGTGTAAGATTTAAGGTTTAAGGTTTAGCGTTTAGGGTTTAAGATTTAGATTTAGGGTTTAGGGTTTAGAGTTTAAGGTTGAATTTTAGGTTTTAGGGTGTAAATTTTAATGTTTAGGATTTAGGGTTTCAGGTTTAATCTTGACCAGAAACCCTAAACCTAAACCCTAACCCTAAATCCTAAACCTTAAACCCTAACCAAACCTTAAACCCTAAACCTCAAACCTTAAACCCTAAATCTAAACCTAAACCGTAAACCCTAAACCCTTACCTCAAACTCTAAATCCTAAACCCTAAACCTAACCCAAACCCAAACCCTAAACCCAAACCCTAACCCTAAACCCTAAACCCCAGGCCCTAGACCATACCTCTATAATTAAACCCTACTATAACGACCCAAAATTTATTCAGAAGCTAAACACGGTGGTAGGACAAAACAAAACCATGGTTAGTCTTTACTTTATTAACAACAATGAATTTCCTTTGACACTTACTTGTAAAATTTATTTCAGTTGGGGTCTAACCTTAGAGTTAGATTGCCTACATACCCTGTGAAGGGATCAAGCTGATCGTAGTTCACATTCATATTTAATTCGTTTATCACTATATAAGAAACACTTAAATCTTAAGAGAATGTCATTGAACGGATGTCAAATATATAATCAAAGTATCAAAATTAATCTAAAAATACAAAATTGGCCCATTGGCCACATGTCACCGTACGCGATGTTGCAAGTGGCGGTTTTCGACGAATGGAAACCAAAATTTCCAACAACTCCAAAAAACACCAAATTTCACAGATTGTAGAAAAAAAAAATCAGGGGGGAGAATTTTCATACCTAAGCCAAGGTCCAATTCGGCCAGGAAATACCTGAAATTATCCTCGATCCGTTGGAAACCCTATAAAGGGTGTACTTCAATTCGACATCAAAACGACCTTCGATGCCTTGAACTCGGCTTGGCTCTTGTTCCTGGGGTTAAGAGAAGCTGATTGGTGGTGGTGATCAACGACGTGGCTTACAGAATTGGTGAATTACCGTCGTGAAGCCCTCGGACACGACGACTCAGTTCTTCACGAAACTGGGCAAACCCAGTCAAGTTTAGGTGGGAATTGAAGAGGACGTTACAATGTGATGATTGGTGGTGATGGATTGACTCGGTTCCTAAACCCTAAATCTTAAACCCTAACCCTAAACCTAAATTCTATATCCTAAACCATAACCTTTAACCCTATACCCTAAACCCTAAACCCTAAACCCTAACTCTAAACCTAAACCCTAAACCCTATACCTTAGACCTAAACACAAACCTAAACCCTAACCTTAAACCCTAGATCCTAGACCTGAAACGCTAATGCTAAACCTTAAATCCTAACCCTAAACCCAAACATAAATGCTAAACCCTAAGCCCAAACCCTAAACCCTAAACCTTAAACCTTAAACCCTAACCCTAAACGCTAAATCCTAAATCCTAAACCCTTAACTCTAAACCCCAAACCTTAAACCCTAACCTTAAACCATATACCCTAAACCCTAAACCTAAATCCTAAACCATTTCTGGTTCTACTATTACATTTGTATTCGGACTATGCAGTGCATTGTCTATTTCTGGTTCTGTTTTTACATTTGGATTCAGACTCTACAATATCATGTTTATAAAATGGATATATTGTTTAACTTTTTGGCTTTCCAACATAAATATTCAATATAATTCACTCACAAGACTAAAAAAAAAAATGATAAAATTAACCTCTTCCAAATGCATATAAAATTTTCCTTACAACACATGCATATGATTATGAAAAAACTAAATAGTCGTATTTTAGGCATAAAATTTAGCATAATTCACTAATAAGACTCAATAAACTGTAAAGACCGCTTTATATAACCTTTTTCTTATTGCCAGTCTTCTAAAAAACGATTGAGGCGGCCGCCTAGGCGGTGCCTGGATGCTTGGCTGTGGTGCTCCGCTACGATTAACCCTAAATCATTTCTTAAATCGGCAAGGTTATTAGGCGGCACAAATCGGCCGCTTTGGCGGTCTGGGCTAACGCTAGGCAGTTTGGCGATGAGAAGAGGAAGAGCTTAGAAGTAGGAAGGAGCTTGGAGAAGAAGCAACGGAGGCTGTTGCGAAAATTTACAGAGCAAAGTTAATGGCTTTCCTCTTTCCAAGGAAGAAGAGGAAAAGGTAAAGCCAAAAAAATAATGTGTGTCCACTTGTCAAGGCGTCAATAAGGTTCCCCCGTTTTTTAGAACCATGCTTATTGCGCACGCAAAAGATATTGTGAAAACTCAATAGTCACATTTTTTTTTTTCAATTTGTTTTGTGAATTATTTACAAAAAAAAGGACCACAAAACTGTCTTTTTAGTATCATTTCGCCACACTATTAAACTTATTATAGTACATGCAAGTAAGAACACGAGCATATACTATTCAGCACCTGGAATCAAGTTGCAATGGAGTACATCTCCTTTACCGTTTGGTTCGGATATTACTGGTGTTATATGGATTTCCAACTCAGCCAAGAAGTTGAAGCCTTTGAATCCCCTTGGGGGTTTGCATGTCCTTACCCTTCAAAACCATTTTTGATTCTTCTTATCATTAAATTGTCCTCATTAACTACTAAAACTGCCAACTTTGTCTTTAAATATTCTTGGTGTTTCCTTTTCTTAAGGAAAATATTGGAAAGTTGGACAAACTTTTATTCCTCTTTACTACACAAACAAACATGGGATGGAAGTAAAGGATTGTTCCTTGTTGACGTTTACAACATTTCCAAACAAGGCAGAATATATTTATCTCGGAAAATCATATTGTAAGTGCCTCGCATCCTTCCAAAAGCGGGGTTCTGTCTTTATAATAGTAGAGATATTTGTTTAGTCGTAATTGTTTTCCCTAATCATATTTTTATCTTTAGATGTAGATGTCTTATGGTTAGATTCTTGATATTTTAATAAACTGTAATATCTTTTGAATCATAACTTGTTTATGTTACTTCCCATATGTGATCCAAAATGATGTTTTTACATTAGAAATGGAACACTCCGTTAATCCATAGGAAATATATTTTTTTGACTAATATGGTTATCAAGAATACCCAATGAATGCGTATGATAAAGAAAATGATAAACACACCTATTTTCTTTTTCTTTTTTTTGTTAAACAAAAGGGCCAAAAACCGACAAAAGAGAAATTACAAAATAATGTCACGATGAGTTTGAAACGTCTTAGAAATATCAGACAATAATAACTTCTTATAAGAAGATGAAGCTTGCTCAAAATAAACTGTTCCCAAAGAATGAGAGAGACTCATGTTGGCAACTCATCATCAACAAAATTCATCTCCCAATAAATACGTCGAATATTATATTTACAGTCACGCTCGCACAGCAAACTTGAATTAGTTGAGAAAGGGTCCTTGCCGGATCCTTCAATCATATCCGTTTATTGTACATCGTGCGGCCAATTTTCGTCACATACTGCTTTATTCAATTTTAAATAAAAACTTTACAATGATTTTTGATCACATAATATACAATGAATGAATGTGATTTAAGGATTTTCAGGATTCTCACAGAGGATCCGGCGAGGATCCTTGTGGAATCAGTTTACCAATTGGATATGACACATCTGGCGACTATGTGTTCGTTATGCATCCGCATCGTTGACACTCTTATACCGAACGCATCTAATAAGCATAGCTGGCCACGTGTACGGTGGCGATAGCCAGACCATAAACATAAACGGTAGAGTGCTCCGTAGTAGAGATTGCCACGGTTAAAACCCAAGCTCACCGTTATCTTACTCATACCCCAGTCATTATCTCACTTATTTCTCCTAAAAAACAACAGAATAAAAAAAAAAGAAGGAAAATCTGTGTTCCGGCGCGGGAAAATCTCAACGGCGGGCGTTCCGGAGCGGGAAAATCTCACCGGCGGGGGTTCCGGCGAAGGTACTCTTCCGGACTACTCTCTCATTCTTCTCAATTTCTAGGTTTTGCCCCCTCTGCTCTGTTTATCGTGCTTGCATACATAAATTGCGTATGTATAGGTTATTGAAACAACAGTTTGATCTCTTTGAGTTCTGTGTATTCCTCTCTATCTGTGTTGTCACTGCGCGCTCTCTTTGATCGAAGATCAAATTTTTAGGGTTTTTGTTTTTGCAGTCTACAGATTGATCGAGCAGAGGTTCCTGAGCTTGGAGTTGCATGGATTGCGATTGGTTTTTGTCAGTGACGTTTTACAGGCGAAATGTCGTATAAGATGGTTTGGGTTTGACAGAGAGTGGAGGTTTGAGATTGGAGTGTGGGAGAAGCTGAGGTGGATAGTGTGGGAGCGGTTCATTGAGTTGTGCTGTGGTGACTCAGTGAGCCTTTTTCAAACAAATGGTAGACTCTGAACTCTGATTGAAGCTTTCTAATGGCAGTGTCGTATAGAAATTTTATGGTTATCTTATTTGGGGTTTTTGATATCATTGCACCTGAGAGGTATCTTGCTTTTGATCAATCATGGTGCTGCTTGTTTTGCAGCTTCTTCTCTGTGTGATTGTTACTCTTTTCTATCTATTTTCGGTCTTTGTGGGTGTTTTCATGTGCGCTGGTCATTTTAGATTGAAATAATCGTGTCTATTGTTGTTGATATTTTCAATTTGATCTTGAAACCTGCTCTCGTTTTGATTGTTTGAAAATGTGAAACTTTTAAATGCAAATGACGATTGGCTTATATGCCAAATGGAAAGCCATGTGCTTTTTCTACAGAATTATGGTATTTGATATCTACATGCTTGACTTCTGGTGATGATACTGAAAATTATCTGTAATTTCCTTCTTGTTATATTATTTACTAATTTACATTCATAGAATTCAATTTAGACGATGGAGTCTGCTGCGAAGGTAAAGTGGGTATGTTAGTAGCTATATCCAGTGATTCTGGACCTCAACATACGCATATGGTTTTATCCCTGAGCATCTGTTTTCTTACTAGAATACGTTAATGGTTATTACTGACTGTGACTGTTAATTGCATAATGCGTCTTAGTAATTAGCAACAATGTCAAATCCTTTTGAAAAACATTATTGAGAGATTTGTCATTTAAAAGTAAAGGAAAGCACTTAGTTAGCAGCTTTCAAGGGTCTTAAGTTTGATACCAGTTATGTTGAGTAATAGTAAGATCAGAATACCTGAATAAATTTGCAGTAGTGACCAGTTAAGCAGCATTGCAACTTTGGATTATAGGATAACTTGTTTAACTTGGACTGCTAAGTGCGTGGGATCAACATCAAGCACTGAACGATTACCTCTTCTATAGTAAAAATTTGTAAAAAAAAAGTGCGCTAACATTGGATTATTAGAAGTATATTAGATCATTTCCTATCGATTTAAGATTCTAGTATCGTGTTTTTATTAGCTATATAGGAGTTAACCTAGGCTTTCTGCATTTACTAGTGTTTCATTTCATTACCCTTTGAATAGGGATATTTCTTCTCATAGCTTGCTGAGTACAGCTGAAAAGAAATATAAATTACTGACAAAGTTAATAAAATTACTGACACAGTTCATATTTATTCTTTAATGGTCATGTACATTTGTTCTTACAAATAATTTACTTAACAAATTGCTGAAGAAATCTAGTCATGGTTAGATGTATAATCATACTAGCTCAGGAAGCTTTATCTAATGGGGACCGATGTGATGCAAAGGTAGTCTGTGGCAAATAAATGCCTAAGAATTTCCTTAAAAAAGTTTCTACGATTAGCCGCAACTTGTTGTTCTTTTTGCCAAATCCAGCCTTTTGTTGGTGGTAATACCAAGTATGTTGGTCCTTCGTGTCAGTGCTTTTTGTTATTTGAAATTTTTTTGTGTACCAATTAGTTTCAGAAACCATGCATATTAGGAAGTTGTTCTTTAACGTTTGAATTGCCTACAGCCCTGTAAGGCAAAATTTTCTTTATCTTCCATCATAAAATGATTTCTCTCCAAGTCCCTTTGCATTATGTAGGAAAATATTTAATACTTCAGAGCATAACTGATTGGACAGATTTCAAAGAAATTTGTTAATAGTTCCATTGTTACGGCCAAGACTTGGATTGTTAGCACTACTTGCTAATTTTCTTCTAAGCGGAATTAATTTTCATGGTAATCAATTTTGTAAATTTTATTGATACGTGAAATGATAAAAATGCATTTGGTTGTCTAGGAGAGCATATCTGGTGGGAGTTCAAAAATTTATAAAAAATAAGCTATTGGTGAATCATGTGTGTTTATCTTCTTGGAAGATATGAATCACGTATGATTTCATTCGATCACTCTTAAAGTGCAACATTAAGTGGTCCTGTAGAATTGATCTGTTTATCCTTCTGTGTTTATATGCATTTTTCCTCTGTTTTCAGATGCAATTATTCTAATGAATATGTTTGTGTCTAGCATCTCATTTCCCTATTCTGTATCGGTAGTTTAGTCCTAGGCCGGGTTTACTTGCTTATACGTCCTCTATCTACTGTTCTTATTTTAACATTTTGTCATTCAATCTGAACAGTATTTTTCTTTGGCAGTCTTTCCAACCCAAAAGTTCTTGGACTCCGAGAGATTCGAGCTGTCTAACTGATGGAGAGATGGGTTATGACAATTCTTCCAGATTAGATTCAAAGCGTGGTCACCCGTGGTTTATGGATTCCAATGGGCCGGAGCTCTTCAACAACAAGAAGCAAACAATGGAGTCTGTTAATGGCAGACCAGTTTCAGAGATGGGTTATGACAATTCTTCCAGATTAGATTCAAAGCGAGGTTACCCGTGGTTTGTGGATTCCAATGGGACGGAGCTTTTCAACAACAAGAAGCAAGCAATGGATGCTTTTAATGGCAGGCTAGTTTCAGGAGTTCCACATTTGGAAAATTTCCCGTGGGAAAACACTTCAGGGTTTCAGTCAGTTCCAGGTCAATTCACTGATCGGCTTTTTGGAACTGAGCCAGTACGGACAATCAACCCAGGTGAGAGGAACATTCAATCCGTTGGAAATGGAAATATGAATTTGGGAAGAAAGGGTTTTGAGAATCAATATGGAAATGATTCATCAATGGGTTTGTCAATGTCTCACTCTATCGAAGACCCCTCATCATGTCTCAGTTTTGGTGGAATCAGAAAAGTGAAGGTCAATGAAGTTAGGGACTCTGAGAATGTAGTGTCTGCGTCTATGGGGCACTCCTACATTAGAGGAGACAACACTACAATTTCAGCAGGTACCGCGTTTAATAAGAGCAATGAAAACAGCATATCTTTGGGTTCGACTTATAACAATGGCGAAGAGAATGCAATCGCAATAGGGCCTTCCTTTAATAAGGCAGATGAAAATTTCATTTTAATGGGTCACACCTACAGTAAGGGAAATGGGAATTTCACATTGATGGCTCATAATTATAACAAGGGTGACAATGGTAACTTATCAATTGGACGGCCCTTTGACAAGGAGGACGGAAGATTTATATCAATAGGCCAGTCATATGAAAAGGGAGATAGCAGTTTCATATCGTTAGGTAGCTCTTACAACAAAGGTCATGAGAGTTTTGTTTCTAGTGGTGCAACATATAGTAAAGCAAATGAGAATTTCATCTCAATGCCTCCGACATATAACAAGGCAGATTCAAATGCTGTACCTCCCTATGATAAAGGAGATAGCAGTTCTATGAGTCATAATTACAGTAAGAGTGAGAGCACCACCATCGCTTTGGAAGTTTTCATGATGAACTCGACACAAATCCTTCTGGCAGGATCATTAACAGCTATGATTTGCTGACGAGTAGCCAGAACATAGCTCAACAGTCAGAAGAACCTGGCCTGAAGGATCCAGTTCAGTCACATACGGATCCAAATGTAGGTGAAGCTCTGCAAGTTGATTCTAAAACTGATATGGTTCCAAAAATTAAAGAGCCAAGAACTGCTAGGAAAGCTCCTCCAAACAACTTCCCTTCAAATGTCAAAAGTTTGTTATCAACTGGTATGTTTGATGGTGTTCCAGTGAAGTATGTTTCCTGGTCACGGGAGGTAAGCTGATAACTATTAATCATTCTGATTCTTTTGACAGGTGATTAATTTTCTGTATTAATTCCTTGATTTGACTTGTATATGTTATCATCTGCAGAAAAACCTCAAGGCAACAATAAAAGGGGCCGGGTATCTTTGTTCCTGTGATCAATGCAATCACCCAAAGGTAAGAACTCTTGTTTGATTCAACTGCTTTGAAGATAACAAATTTTTGATCTGAGATTTATCAATTAGCTTGAACATTTATTGTATGATGCAGTCTCTTAATGCTTATGAGTTTGAGCGTCATGCTGGTGCCAAGACCAAACATCCCAATAATCACATCTACTTTGAGAATGGAAAGACCATTTATGCAGTAGTTCAAGAGCTGAAGAACACTCCTCAGGACGTGCTGTTTGACGCCATTCAAACTGTAACAGGGTCTCCTATTAATCAGAAGAATTTCCGCATCTGGAAAGGTGATGAATAATTAGATAATTTTCGGAGTGACCTGTTTAACACAATTCCTCTCACACAATCTCTATTTTTGCCTGTTTCAGCATCATATCAAGCCGCAACCCGTGAACTTCAGCGTATCTATGGAGAAGATGAAGCCGCTGTACCTTCTTGACATCGGAATCTTCCTAGTTAACTTTTTTGGGGGTAAATTAAGATGTGATCGTGCGTAGCGACATACAGCTTATAGTAAATTACTAAGTTATAGACCTAAATTTGAATACTGGATTTGGTGGATGGCATGTATTTTGGCTATTTGAAACGTTTCATATAAAAATAGAATTTCGGATTTTGGACAGTTTATTATCTAATACTTGATATTGTGAGTGTTTATTTTGCTCTCTGAAAAATCTTTGAAGTAACCACAGAGTTGACCGCTTTCAAATTGAAGTCTTCAGGCTGATAGATGATGCAGTCTCTCTTTGGAGGGCAACTATTGTTTGTGTTGGTTATCCTAGTCTTGCCATTATAAATAAATTTGAGGTTTGCATAACATGTTATAACACGAGTGGGTTGGATATTAGTTGATATCTTCAAGTAAACTCGTTTCGTTTCACCAGATTATTTCAAACTGGATTAGCTTCAGGAACTAAGTTGGATTAAGCTAGACAGATTTAGTAAAACGTTTGATGTAGTGTCAGACTAAGAAACAGAATAATAACAAATTCTAATATTTTATTATTCACTTTTGTCTTCGTTTTTTTTGTGTGTGTCAAATGATAGATTTGTTAGATTAGGAAGTCGACGAAGTTCGAATCCACACTGCAATACAAAGACAACACTTCTCTTCACTATTGTGGTAGAGGACCACTTGCACTTTCGTCTTTTTTTTCATTCTAGAAACATCTCCTTTCCTATTTTTCTCCGTTCTATCTCCTCTTTATTCCTAATTTTTCTCCCCCTCCCTCTTTTCTCCCCTCATCCTCTTTTTCTTCCCAACTTTTCTCCGTCCCTCACCCTCTTTCTTCCTAATTTTTCTCCGTCCTTCACACTCTTTTTCTTCGTCCCTCACCTCTCCCTCTTCATCTCCCTCATTTTCTACGCTTACATGCAGAAAATGGAGTTATATCTTTGTTAAGAAATTGTTTTCGAATTCATTGCACCGATTGAGTACTTGAATTTGAAAAAAGTCTGAGGCTATCAATTGTATAGCCTCTAACCTTATTATATAGCTCATAATTTTTGTTTCATGTTTGATTACAGAGATAAAACCAAATTAGAACAATGTTTAATGAGTCTTTGATTAACCTAATCCGTCTGGCGAAGCAACTCATAGCTGTGATTCTCTTGCAGTGTGCCTACGCAGGTCAGAATGTGAGTCTTTGTTTTAGCTGAGCACATGTACCTTGGAAGGGATATGCAGTAATATATATTGTTCTTTTTACAGCTTCATTTGCCTAGTGAGAATTTGGAAATAATTTCTTACAGTTACCCTTCGCAGTATTCTTGGAGCCGTAGTTATATTTGTTGGGTATATCTAGTTCTATGGGGAAGAAAGATAAACCTCCATCTCTTGGAGCATTCTCCAATAGGGTGTTTTACAAGTTTTAAAGCATCTACGAGAACTTGAGAATCTCCTTCAACAACCTTTTCCCCACATTGTTCAAGCTTTCCAATCTATTAATTAAATACCGCAAAATAATGATCATGCTTTTGTTAACAACTTGGAAAATAAATTCTTTTACATAAAACCTTATGCAAAAGAGAGTGATTTCCCCTAATTTGGACTTTTCATACTCCCATTTGTTGCTGATTTGTAGTCATCTCTTCATCATCTAGTGCTTGATTCTGACTTTTTAATGAATGAGATGGAGGTTTATCTTTCTTCTTCCCCCATAGAACCAGATATAGCCCAACAAATATGACTATGGCTCCAAGAATACTGCAAAAGATAACAGTAAGAAATTATTTCCAAATTCTCACTAAGCAAATGAAGCTGTAAAAAAAAAAAAAAAATTACTGTATATACCTTCCAAGGTACATGTGCTCAGCTAAAACAAAGGATCCCATAATTGCGGTAGTTACTGTGCCTAAGGGGTTAAAAGAAGAATAGTAAACAGGTCCTTTTCTTTGTTTACCATTCCCATGATATAATAATTAACCCCAGAGAGTATTGCCTGCGGCAAAACAACTTCTGTGAGTATAAATTATAATTGATTGGTTCAAGAATTTGAAACAAAAAAAAATGTTGAGCAAAAGATTTCTTACCCCATAAAATGATGCCAAAAGTTTGATGTCAAATTGTGTAGACCAGACTGGATTAGGGTTTTCCTGTTCCATGAAAAGGGCAAGTACTGCGGCTTCAACCAGACCCCAAAAGCATGTAAAAGCTGTGAGGGAGAGCTCACAAGGGTATGATCTTAGTGTAAAAGCCTGCATTTTTTTATTAGAATTCACCATCATATTTTACCTTTTACTTGAACAGTCAAGAAAAATAGGGAGTTTTATTGATACTTCAAAAAAAATCATATCCTTTTATTGATACTATTAACAGTTTTCTGAAGGGAAAAAAAATTATGATCTATGGTGTCGATTTGAGAGTTCTTACTTGCAAAATGATGAAACAAGACCAGAAGAAACAAGATGCAGCAGTCACGAGGGCACTCTTAATGAGGTCTTTAGGGTTTGAATCACTTTGCAACAGGTGATGATCATAATTTAGACCTTTGCCCTTTGTCCACGGAAAATTAAGTTCCGGTCCTTTGACCAGAGTCAATATAATAGCTCCCCCAACCGTGACTGTGGTCCCCGCTACCTTTGCTTGGCTATGAAGTTTCCTAATGTTTACTTTCTCAAGCCTGCAAAACCATGATAAATTCATCTGCTTAAACTGTGCGTTTTGTCTGTGTAATACCAAGGCAAGGTGTTATAAATCATACCTAAAGATCATGGCCATGAAAAATGCAATTGCAGGAAGAATATTGAACATGGCAGATGTGAAAGTAGCTGTAGAATATGACATTGCCATGTAGAAGAGGTTCATGTCAAGTACAGGGCTGTAAAGTGAACAAAAAGCACTTCAACTAAGATCGTTTTGAATTGCTTAGCTAAACGTTAATGTTACCCTTAACGGTTAAGAATCTTACTCGAAAAGGCTAAGCGGCATAGTCTTAGCAAGGATGGAAAAGGTCATCTTTGGCCGCGATTTCCTGGTGATTAATCTTAATAATTAGTAATATTTTCTAAACATGTCAATTTTCGTGCATAGATATTGAGAGAGCAAACAAACCTATCCAAAATGAGAGCGAAGGGAGAAATGAGAACAGTTGCAATAGCCATTCTGTAGACGAAGAATACATAATGGCTCATTCCCTGGTTTAGAGCAAGCCTAGCAATTACGTTCTGACCTGCATCGCCACACTGCAATAGAATCACAGCCATGAGTAGCTTCGCCGGACCGATTAGGTTAATCAAGGCTCACTAAACATTGTTCTAATCTAGTTTTATCTCTGTAATCAAACATGAAACAAAAATTAAGAGCTGTATATATAATGTGTAGAGGCTATATACTTGATTCATTATATAGACTCCTAGCCTCAGAGTTTCTCAAATTCAAGTACTCAATCGATGCAGTGAATTCGAAAACGATTTCCTAAAAAGGATATAACTCCATTTCTGCATAACATCGAAATTGGAAAATATGGTAGGGTTTGGCACTTTGCCAAATTTTTATTAACCAAAAACATTGTTAGTGGGGAAGAAAAGTTAGTGCAGTGAACAAGTTATGGCAACCAAGTCAGGGATTAGTTGGGTTTTATTTTTTCCAACGTAATAATAGTACGCAAAGGATTTGTACAAGCATGTTGTAGTATAGTAAGTAGTAGTGATCTACAAATAATTTTACCTAATTAAAACTAAATTATTTCATGATTATGCTAATTATAGGGTAGCTGGAAAATGAGTCCTATGATAACGACCCTTTAGCCCCCCAACCCCCCAATGACAATGATTGATTTCAACGCTTTCAATTAATTAAGGCATGTTTACTTTACAAATTGGGAGAACGAAGGTGTTTGCACCATACTTGATCAATACCGAAACTATCAAGTACCAGTCAACTTCATACCTTCAAGGACCTACTGAGGGATTCATGTTGAAGCAACCTTGCCGAAGCACAAGAGTTTCCCTCCACCTAGGAGGCCAATCACATTACAACACGTGTCAACGTTAGAATAAAGCTTTTAGAGTCTTACATCGACCATGGATGAAAGCCGGAGACTCTCCTCAACTATAAAAGAAGAACATTCTTCTACAATGAGGGAAAAATGTCATTATTGTACTTAAACTAGTCATTAGAATCCGCTAATGATGATTATGCTTGAATCTATGTATTTGTGTAAACCCTTCACTATTAATGAGAACTCTTCTACTCCGAGGACGTAGCCAAACTTCGGGTGAACCACGTACATCTTGTGTTTGCTTCCGAATCTCTATCTCCTTATATATTATCCTCACTAGGTGACCGGAGCAACCGAGCGAATGTTACAAACTTGACACTTTACGTTGTTCCAAAATCTCATCGATTTTGTGCATCAACGGAAGGAATCCGAGAAATTAGAAATAGAGGAAATAGGATCAAATAATCCCCTAGCTGATATGATCTTGACATTTTGGTATTTGATTACGGATTATTAGGGAAACGTACGCTTTTTCAATTCCTTATATGTTAGTTGACGTATGGAAAAGTTAAGAACATAAATCATTGATATTCATACTCCTCATATTTTACTAAGGGAATTGTTATTAGCACTCCAAAAATTTCGTTTGGCACTCTAAACTTTATATAATTAGAAAGAAAAATACATTTGTGAGGAGTGTAGAATGAGATTTTTGAAGTGTTAATAACAATTTTCTTTACTAAACGAATGAAACTTAAGAAATAAAATAATTCCTATTTCTATTTTATGTAAATAAGCGTCCTCTAAGTTAATGTATTCCAAAATCAATTAAACTACTCATTATCTACTATGATTCTGATCATCTCACACCAAACTACTCGACTTTAATAAACTTGTAAATATATGAATTCTATCGAGTTTTCGAGGCAATACAACGTAGAGTCCGTGGAACCCCTAGGGGCTTGGATTGGAGTGGTTCCTCACAATTTTGGCAACTAAAATAGGTGCTTTGCTTGTTGAAGAGTGCAAGCAAACACCAACGCACTAGCTAGTCGTGTCAATCAACTATCATCATTAGTATTAATTAAGTTATTAAACACTAGCGTTTATTGTTGTATTTTACTCTATTTGCAGCCTATTGAAGGAGTTGAGATTAATCCATATCTGGAGCCCTCTCGTTCCAGCATTGCTAA